CAAAATGTTTGTGTTTTAAAGGGAAGAATAAAGATTTTTAAAAACTTACAATGTGTTTGATTATTTTAATTCTCAAAAACAATCCAATACCTAAGAAATAATTATAATATTATATAGTTGAAATATTGAGTCAATTGAAGCTAGATCACCATGGGAAACCTGGCAGCACTGGACGACAAACTCGTCCTATTGTGGGACTCCTCAACAGTGCGCATCCACGATCCCGCTTAACGAGATTCGAACCCAGGATCTACCAGTCTCGCGCCATAACACTTAACCATCAGGCCACTGACTTGGCTGGCATCCAACGGTGTTAATGTCTAGCTTCAACTGATCCACAAAGTTGTACAACCATTCACCAATTGTCTTCAGTGATTTTATATCTTCCAACAGACCTGGTTGAACTCCACTGGTTACTACTTCTCACTGAAACTCCAAGAAACACCTCATGGAGCCAGTCACGAAACCGCTTTCCATTGCTTCGAAGTTTTCCATGGTGGTCTAGTTTCAATTGACTTATGATTACTAAAATCTCCACGAAACCTCCTTCCGATAATTATAATATTGTAAGTTAATTCAATCGATTCGAAATAAATAATCAAAGATTAATGTTGAATGAACATTTCAATTTGATTTTTAGTGTTTTATATTTTTAATACCACCGTAAAATTTAAACTTCAGACCTAAATATTTCTACTTGAATGTTACAAAATTTTCCTTTCTATGTTTATTTTAGTTTAACTGTTAGTCACCCGTTTGTTCACTTTCAATTAAGAATAGTTTACAGTAACATTGTAGCATTACAAATAAACTATAATCAATCATGTGAAACAATAAGCATGTCAGAAATTATTAGATTAATTCATTATTCAAAAACAATTGTTAAAGACATAAATTAATTATGTGAAGTCAGTTTTGAAGCTTAATAAGGGTGGTCTTATTTAGCTAAAGGATAAGTTAAATATCCTTATTTGATTATACCCTCTGTGAATAATAACTTATTACTATTTAATGCTAAACAGTAGTATTGAAAGTCATTATATTATTTAAAAAGTAATAGTTCAATTCAATGAACAAGGCATTATAGAAAACTTTTAAAATGAATCATCATTTGTAAGTAAAATTACTTATGATACATTCCTTTTGGGTAAATCAAGTGTAAACTAATGTTGTCTTTTAATGGTATCTGTCATTTGATAAGTTATTTTAGTTTAACTTGACGTTACGTCTGCGGTACTTTATTTATTTAAAACTAAAAAGAAAAATTGGAATTTATTTTTTTTTAAAACCAATGTTCAATGGAACTATGTGAAACAAAGTTTTAAACAGTTGTGATATGGTAACTCACTGAAGAAAATGGTGGACGGTGGCGCAATCTCTCGGATTGGTTGAAATTAAACATTAACATCGTTGAATGCTGATTGAATGATCTAGAGTTTAAGAGTTCATGCGAAAAACCGATAGGTCGTGGGTTCGAATCTGGCGAGACAGGACATTGGATGCACACTACTGAGGAGTCCTATACTTGGACGAAACGACCATCTAGTACTTTCAGATGTCTATGGTGGTCTAGCTTTAATTGACTCATGAATTATACTATGAAAATAGTGAAATCTCCACGAAACCCCTTCTGATCTATAATCACATGCTCACTATTGACTGACTTCAAGAGATATTTCGTTGAGTTCTAGTGGGAAGCAGTGACCAGTGGAGTTCAACCAAGTCTGTTGTAGAGGCATAAACTCACTGAAGATAATCGGTAAACGGTCGCTCAAACATCGTGAAATAAATGATATTATCAGAAGGCGAATTTGTAGAGATCTTAGTAATTTTGATGGTTGAATTCATGAGTTTTTTAAGGCTAGACCTCTATAAGAAGCTGTGATTAGTGGAGTTCAACCAAGTCAGTTGTGAGATGGTAACTCACTGAAGAAAATGGTAGACAGTGGCGCTATTTCAGGAATGGTTGAAGTTGGACATTAACACCGTTGAGTGCTGACTCAATGATCTAAAGTTTGAGTTCGCGCGAAGGACTGAAAGGTCCTAGGTTCAAATCTCGTGAGGCAGGATCGTGGATGCGCACTTCTGAGGTGTCCCATATTAGGACGAAACGACTTCCAGATTTCTATGGTGGTCTAGCCTTAATTGTCTCATGAATTCAACTATTAAATTAAATGATAGTAAGAAATGTATTGTTTGCTTTCATTACTGCTTAATTATATCGCATAGTAGAAATTATAAACTTTGGGAATGAAGTTTGAGGTAGTGCATATAAAACAGCCGAGTGATAATCCTGACAAAACATTAATCTCTCACTACTGAGATTGACTCTTCAATCATGAGTTTACTTTAAACTGTTTACTTTAAAACTGCAAATATAAACATCTTAAGTCTAGTAAATAAACAAGTTAACTTAACTGGACCCGTCGCTTGGTTTATACTTCAAATTTACTAATAAAGTGAACAGTTCAAAACTGGCCACGTGATCAGTATATTGAATAGTACATTTTTTGAATGTCAGATAAAGTATAGATTATTTGAAGCAATCAGCTCTATGTATGCGTCACTTGATTACATTTGTTTCCAATTACACTTATATTAGGCTGTTATAATTTGAGAGTATATATGTGATAAAGAAGAAAGATGATTTGTCTTTTCAAAGACTAGTTACTGTTTATTCAAATTGTATTCGTCATAAGGCATTTGTAATGAAAAACTGACAATAGATTAGTAGTTTTATATAGTTGAGATCATGAGTCGATTGAAGCTAGACCACAATGAAAAACCTCGAAGCAATAGACGGCCAACTCGTCCTATTGTGAAACTCCTCAGCAGTGCGCATCCACGATCCCGCCTCACAGGATTCGAACCCAGGACCTACCAGTCTCGTGAGCGTGCGCTTAACCACTAGACCACTGAGGTGGTCGGCATCCAACGATCTCAATGTCTAACTTCACCCAATCCACGAAATAGCGCTACCAACTACCATTGTACTGAGGTAGATGTCTGTCACTACCTGACATGGATTAGCTCCACTGTCCACGACTTCTCACTAGAAATCCAGGAATTACCTCATGGAGCCAGGCACTAATGAGCATATGATCATTATTAATTTCGTGGATTGGTTGAAGTTAGACATTAACACCGCCGGATGCCGGCCACCTCAGTGGTCTAGTGGTTAAGCGCACGCTCACGAGACTGGTAGGTCCTGGGTTCGAATCCTGTGAGGCGGGATCGTGAATGCGCACTGCTGAGGAGTTTCACAATAGGACGAGTTGGCCATCTATTGCTTCGAGGTTTTTCATTGTGGTCTAGCTTCAATCGACTCATGATCTCAACTATATAAAACTACTAATCTATTGTCAGTTTTTCATTACAAATGCCTTATGACGAATACAATTTGAATAAACAGTAACTAGTCTTTGAAAAGACAAATCATCTTTCTTCTTTATCACATATATACTCTCAAATTATAACAGCCTAATATAAATATTACGGCAAAAGACTTCTCCTTCAAAGCAGTTGCAAAATTTTCACTTTGCCGCATATCTAATTTAAAACGACTCAGTTTACATATGGTAGCTACTTACAAAGAACGATTTCGTCTGTTGTTCATTAGCATCTAAGACATTTTCATTATGAATCCAGTTAGAATGATATCTAAGCTCTATTCACTATTTAAGGATCATGAAATCAATTCGAAAATTTATAGGGGTTTATATCATTTAATAATACTGTTTGCCAGGAAAATATACTAAAAGGCAATAATCATGTGGTGACTAGTAACTAAATTTAAGATAACTTTTTTCTGCTTTCTAGTGAATAGTTGGAACTGTAGTGAACGAGAAGACAATCGAATGTATTTGAAAACACTATAACGGGACACTTAAATAAAATTTGAGAACCATACAGTAAATACTTAATTTGTAAAATGTTAATCAATTATGTCAATGTTGACTGTTTCTTTTGAAAATATCAGTTGATCGTCTCAGAATTTATTGTTCCTGCATTTCCATATCAATCATTTTCTTTTCTCGTTCTTCTGTCCTTGATCTTCACCTTCTGTTGCCAGACATTTTATTCCTGACTATCGTTATACATTACTTATGTCGATATCATTGGCACACACCATAAGAACCTGTGAAATCAAGTAAACCTGAAATTTGACTAAGATTGATAGTATCACATACTGGATACTTATGTCAAATCTGAAGTTTATTAAAATCAAAATGTGTATTAATTTTATTGAACAGTTCATTCAAATTTATTATATTTGTTACTAAATTCAAAGATTGTAGTATCCGTTGTTATGTTAAGGCCCATATACCTCCTTATTCTAGCTTCTGGACAGGTCAATTCATCTATCCATCATGAGTCATGTTTACACCTTATTAATTATTTACTTATCAAACCTGACTATTTTCATATGAGCATAGGTGTGTGTACCCTTCTTATCCTATTTATTACATGTCTGTCATTTATTCTTGTCGGACTATAAATATTGATTAACGCTTAATTAAAGTGAGTTGGCTTACCCGCCATCTCCAATGCATGTGATTTTTGTTTCGCTCTCTAATATTTACTCATGTGCTTATAACATTATGGCCTGCGTTATTTGTCAATAAAACTGTAGCTGGCGCTTCTCTTTGCCTTCTGATTTTATGCACCGTCAGGATTTTTATTAAAACGGTTATCGAGGTAAACGATTAGCGAAGCATGGCACTACAAGATACAACGTCTAATACAATGTAGGCTGTAAATAATCATTCTCTTTTCTTTTTTACAGTTTCAAACTGATGACTGTACACCTAGACACTGTTTCATAATCATTAATATATATATATATACACATATATATTTCAATGATGAATATGGCTTTAATTAACAACTGAACAATTAGTTTATTTAAACTTCATCTAACTAGTTTATCAAATAATAACCAATAGTAATCAAATGTTATCCTGATTTCTTTTTTTTTTAATCATGGGAAATTGCACAGCAATAACTATTTTTTAACCAATGAAATAATAGTGTGCTAAATAATTTTTAAACCATGGTGAAAGTATATTACTGATAATTAAGATTACTTATACAACTTGACTGCTTGAAAAGTTACAGCAGTTTGTTTCGTTGGTTGGCTGGTTTCCATTTCATTTCAATTCAATTCACTTTTGATTTCAAATCATCAGATTATCTGGAAACAAAATTTTTTTTTGTTTTTTTTTTAAAATGATGATTATATAATATGTACATGATGAAAAGAAAAGTAACTTTTATCCCCTAAAAAAGAAAAAAAAAAGAAAACTATCAAGAAAGAAAATTTAAAAAAAAGAGAACAATTATCGATGTGAGAAAATTTAAACAAATCATTATAGTAAATCAATACAATTCATTCATGATATGTATCTAACGATAAAAGTTAATATTTACAAAATAATTTGTTACCATGGCAACGAGTGAGTAGGTTATTTTCTTGTATTATGTAATTTTTTTTGCTGTTTTTTTAAATTTCATCCTAAAGTGAATTATTTGTTAAGAGTGAATTCAGTAGAATATCTTTCTCAATTTATTACTTATTAGTAGTCTATGTCTATAATATTTGAAAAAACCCAACTGTTAACGTAATGTGATTTAGTCATTTAAATAATAAGAGTATTTTGAATGCAGAATTTTGATATTAATGCTGAGGAGTCCCATAATAGGACGAAACTGTCATCCAGTGCTTCCAGGTTTTCCATGGTGGTCTAACTTCAATTGACTCACGCTTTCAACTATGAAGATAAAATAATCGTTATTATGACTTGTGGCCTGTTGAATATCAAATGAATTATTCGCCAGTCGGAACACGACTTATACAATCTTAACACTGTTACAACAACGACTCATTGACGGGTATGAGCAACCCAGCTTCCTTATTGGTCCTTTTTTCTCGCTTATTCTTGAGACTAGAACGACAATATCAGTTTGCAATGTAAGAATCATATATTTCAAATATACTTGGTTTATTTCGATAATGCAATGAGAAGACAAAGTTTATCGTAGTTGAAAGCGTGAGTCAATTGAAGCTAGACCACCATGGAAAACCTGGAAAAACTGGACGGCCGTTTCGTCCTATTATGGAATCTCGCGAGAGCGGGTTCGTGGATGCGCACTGCTGAGGAGTCCCATAATAGGACGAAACGGCCGTCCAGTGTTTCCAGGTTTTCCATGGTGGTCTAGCTTCAATTGTCTCACGCTTTCAACTATAATAAATACTAAATCTCCACAAAACCCCTTCTATAATTAATACAAAGTTTATCATAATTATATGATATATTTGCGCAATACATTTCGAACAATCTGATCACACATATACTTGTTAAGAACATTTATATCTGAAAATTAAAAGGTCAACTAGACAGGTTAAGGAAAAACGTAACAAAGAAAGAAAATAAATAAAGTACACAAGAAAAATGTGATGACCACTCTGGGTAATAAATCAGCATTACCAAAGTAGGTTAAGGGTAAGAACAAAATGTTTCCGTATAGCCAAGGCTTCAATAAACCTTATTATACGTCCTTGAAAACTTTTATACAATACTACAAATGCTGACTTGATGTTAGCCTTATGACTAGTTTCAACCAAATGTTTCGCAATCGAGGAAGATATCTGTCTATCCTGTGATCTTATTTGATTATTGGAATTCATTATCAGAAGGGGTTTTGTGGAGATTTAGTATTTTTCATAGTTGAAAGCGTGAGTCAATTGAAGCTAGACCACCATGAAAAACCTGGAAACACTGGACATTAGAAATTATTTGTTTCTTCAGCCATTTAAGTATGTATTCCGCCACTCTTAATTGCAGATCACGATTGCTTGGTTTATATACAATCTAACCAGACCGCATCACATTATAAATAGAAAATAACATTTGCACAAGGTCCAGCTAAAAGTGGCTGCGTAGAAAACTTCTATTGATAAACCGGGTATAACTTAAGACTAGTAAATGGTGCAATGATAGTCTGTAGGTCAAAATAAAGGTTATAATAAGATGAATATAAATATACATATTCTAGTTACTCAATAGCTATACAATAGGAATATATATATATATATATATCCCATATAATAAAATACAAGATGCATCGGTGAACTGGGCACTTATCACCTTAGAATAAATTCGATAATGTTGAATTTACAAGCTATCAGTTAATGAGTCTCAAATATAACGAAGTAGGTAAGGATGGATAGTGAGTAGCAGTGGAATCCAGAACGTGCGTTTCAACCTATTTGAAATTCGTCATTTGGATGTACCTTCATTTCAGAGTTGATGTTCACTCTAGGACTCGAATCCAGTACCTTTCGCTTCAAACGCCATCACGTTATCCACTCAGCTACTGAGTCCTGGTAGTTACTTGCTTGTGCAATGTGGTGAAATTCAAATTCACATAGTATTGTTTGTTTCAATCTTCCTATTGATGTTTAGGACTGCAACTGGTCAGTCTCTTATTGACATAAGTGCATACTGTGCGCATTACCTCGATATAGCCTTAAGTAAGTAAGGTTTTTGGTTTGTTATACTAACCACAATCTAAAATATAATAAAATTTGTAATTTCATTTGCCTTAATATATCAACTTAGTGATATGGGTATAATTAACAAAGATAAGCTTTCAAACTTGAACAGTAACGATAATAAAGTGAAGCTTTTACATATAATTAACATGATAAATTTATTTCTAAATACGTTTTTGTTCACTTTATCTAATTCATCTATCCTTCAATAACCTAATTATCAGTATAAAGTAATCAGATGGTGAAAAACCTAAACTTTCTTTCCACGAACTGATTCTCCTATAGATAACTTCTTTAGTTAGAAGTGAACTTACTATGTTATACAATAAGTCATACTGTAAGTATTAAAATTATCAAATCTCTTTTGAAGTACTCAACAGAGTAGGACAATTTAAATTCGTATATCAGGTTAGCACAACCCAATCCATTGTACTTCTACATTTACTACTTATAGTGGTGAATTTATTCAACTAAAATTATGATCATTTGTTATACTCTTAAAAAAACTAAAATCAGGTAATAAACGAGGGTAATGAAAGTAAGGTATCCTAATCATTGCCTTAAAATAATAGCAAACAATCTCAATATTATCGAGATCGTATAACTTTAAATCGAGTTGAATATAAATTCACTCAGTATTGTTTGTTTGAATCTTCTCATAGATGTATAGGACTGAAACTGGTCAGTCTCTTATTGACATAAGTGCATACTGTGCGTATTGCCTCGATATAGCCTTAATTCACAAGCATTGTAAGCAGAGATGAATAGTGGCTAGTAGTGGAATCCAGTTTGACACGCGTTTCGTCCTATTTTTGACTGGTCAGTTGGATGCACTTGGATCTGAGAGTTGATGTTCACTCTGGGGTTCGAACCCAGTACCTTTCGCTTCTAAACGCCATCGCGTTATCCATTTGGCCACTGAGCCCTGATAGGACGAAACGCGCATCCTGGATTCTACTGCTAGTCACTATCCATCTTTGCTTATAACAAGTTGAATGTATTTTAGAGATGTATAAAGAAATATTCTTATCTGTTTTTATGGTACAGATTGCTATTTAACCTTATACAAACAAATATTAGAAACCAGGAAGCAATGAATAACTATTTTGTATCCTTGTACAGGACTCCTCATCAATACCCATGGATCACTCCCCACGAAGGATCCAACCCAGAGTCTCTAGGGTACATATCTCAAAATAGTTTCTTCAAGTTCATTTTACTAACCTTTTAGTCAGTGAATTCTATAAATACCCCACTATTATCACATATTCGGTAATATTTCCCTATTTCCTAAAACTAGTTTCTTGAAATTATTACCAGTTTAGCACTATATTTTTATGTTTGATAACGAATTCTAAGCAACAGATTGTAGACAATTTCTGTCAAACAAATGGTTACATTATAATTAGTACTATTCCGACTTATCTAATAGACATTGAAAATATTTTATACATGTGATAATTAATACATTTGAATAGGAAGAATTATGTACAAACGTCAGATGATACATGATAACTTGAAGGGATCATTTAAAAATTTGTTAGTTTTATCATATTGAATGTTTCATAATTAGGTTCAGCATTGAGTTTATATAACCAGTGGATTTCTTTGTGTAAACTATGTTCATTTATAGAAGTGAAATATTCAAATGATGTAAATGTTTGAACTAATTAATTCCAGTGCTCTCTGAATACAACCAGTCGACCGATCAGGTTGGTCGGTGACGTGACGGGTGGTGATGCAGCCCCCAAATGCTCTGGTATTGTTGAGAGTGAGGAGTTCTCTCCCTCTCTCTCTCTCTCTCTCGCGAAATGCTCTCACGTGGCCACGCGTACATAGCCTCTGCCAGGGTAGTCCTACTCACTGCCTTCTCGTGGCATTACTGTTTTTTACGGAATTTAGAGGACGAAAGACGAATGTCCGGCAGTTTACCCGGGTTGGTGGACACGGAGGGTCTACCTAGGAGTGTTGGAAAACACTGATTCCAAATCAATGGTGCACATGGGCTGGCTCCAGTATCCTGAGGGAACTAATAGCGTATGAATCAATCGTTGGTCACCGGCTACTATGGGACTGCATCTCCTAACGATGCTCCACTGCCTTGTGGATCAGACCTTCATTTCGAAATAAAAATCCGTTCTTTTTAAACTAGATCTATTCACAGATACATACTGAGAGTTTTGTTCAGAATACCATGTATTTTGCTAATAACTATTATTCACATTGTATTACTTTAATTAGTCGATATACATTAGAGAAGAGTCCTTTCTGTATGTGGGGCTATTCAATGAATGAAACATTTGAAAAAAAAATCACAGATTACATAAACTTCTAGATATCATAAACTGATTATTCTCAAACAAGAAATATACATTGTGATGTGGGCTACTCATATCCACATAAGTAGTATATGGTGATGGTTAGACATAGAATGTAATTTGGCGGAAGATCGATAAGGCAAGAACAGGAACGAAGCGCGATCGGTATAAAAATGCATGGATAATAAAATCAGGGAAGATGGACTGATATTTGCAGAAGGAACAGTGAAGATTGAGAAAATTGATGGTTATTTTGCAAATTAACTGTTTACTGAATGGTTGTCAGATTTTAGTGAGATAAACTGTAATTTTGTGTTCGAATACATGCGACTGTCCCCGCCCGTGTTCTTGTCGACTACAAAACCACATGAGGAAATAACCATGTATGACGTAATATATTGTACGTAACAGTCCAGTTTTGATGTAAATTGATCGACTTAGATTAGCATTGGTAAGCATTTATTTGGAAAACATTGTATACTTTACAAATTCCTTCCAAAGGAGAAGGTGCCTAGATATTATTCTTCAAGACATTTTCTTACGCTTCTAATGTATTATGTTTAACAATCAAGCGGTAGGAAAA